CCGGGAATTGAACTCGGTCCGGGAGCCGGATTCAAACTCGGACCCGGTTCTGGATCCACATTCACACTGCGACCCGGACTCGAACTCGGTCCGGGATCCTAAATTGAACTCGGTCCGGGAGCCAGTTTCAAACTCGGACCCGGTTCGGGATCCACATTCACACTCCGACCGGGACTTGAACTCGGTCCGGGATCCACATTCGAACTCAGAGTCAGACTCGGAATCGGGCTCCTCTTTCTGCTCGTTGGAACTATCCGCCTCGTCGGACGGCGGAAGTCACCTCTCCTCGGCCACGTCGTCGCTGCTCTCCGCCTCGTCGGCCGCCGACGACGACGCCGACGACGACGTTGACGACGCCAACCTCATCTCGCCCCTCCTCGCCTCCGCCGACGCTCTGCCCGAGGCCTGTTCACGGACCGTCTCCGACTTTTCGGTCGACCGGCACACGCCCTCGGACGCCTGGGCCCGTCACGGTCTGCTGGACACCGACAGAGCGGCCTGGTGGTCGCTATGGCATGTCTGGTCGCGGTATCCCGGCCTGGGGATGACGTTGCTGTGGCGTTGTCATGACAGTGATTCTGGCCTTGGCAGCGGCGAAAGTGAGCATGAGCTGGGCCTGGCGAGAGGAGGTGGAGCGGCCGAGGGAGGCGCGGAGGCGAGTCGAGGGAAGGAGAAGAGGACGACGACGACGAAGAGCCGAAAAGGCACGTCCTTTTGGAGTCTGCGTGTCGGTCCTCTCGGACGCGTCGTCAGGATGGCTGCTCCGCCCAACCTCAACCCGTTTGCCGACGTCCGACCGAGCAGAAGATTGCGTGACACACGACGTCTGATTGGTGGACCAGCGCTTGGTACCAACGGCCCCAGGCTCGAGGCCGACCCAGACGAGTGCCTACGACTTGGATGACCACAGCACCGGCGGCGACAGTTGACATGTCGTCCGGTTTCAGTGGATTTACACACACCAGACGATCTAAAGCCACTTTTAGGCACAACTGTACCTTGTGGATGTTCATAAATAAATAGTTGAGACTCTCCTTATATCTGTATGTTTCTGTGTGTGTGTGTGTGTGTGTGTGTGTGTGTGTGTGTGTGTGTGTGTGTGTGTGTGTGTGTGTGTG